CACGATCACTGAAGACAAAATGGGTGCATAAGCAAATGTGGTGAAGAAAGTTGATGGTGCCTGGCTATCAAAAGATATAGAGTCTGGGGTATTAAAGGCTTGAAGATAAACAAGCGACCATCTAGCTCAGAAGCAACAAAGCCCACGTGGAAGAAGCACACCAGCCTGTGTGATCACAAGGTTATCAATGGGATCAGGTATTGGGCATCTTAGACCCAGAACAAAATCATACCCAATGTGAATTGGGGGCATGGAGTGGAGACCCAATGCCCATCTGTAGACAATTGGACATCCCCTCACAGAGGGGTCCCAGGGAAGAGATGAGCCAGTCAGGGTGCAGTATAGCACCGATGAGACACACACCTTCCTCTAGTTCTTTGGTGTTTCCTTCCCTGCACTATCATGACCTCAATTCTGCCTTACATATCAGATTAGACCAGAACATGCACACTGCTACAGATAAGAGCCGGCAACACAGGGATTCCAGGATAGATAAACCCCTCAGGGCCAACAAGGAGAGTAGAGATACCAGGAGGATTAGGGTAGGGTGGAGGGAGAAAGGGGGAATCAATCACAAGGATCAACTATAACCCCCTCCCAGGGGGACGAATAGCAGAAAAGTGGGTGAGGGGTGACAGAAGATGATGTAAGATATGAAAATAATAATCTATAACTTATCAAGGGTCCATAAGTGAGGGCACGCAGGGGAGGGAGGGGGGAAGAAATGGGGAGCTGACATCAGGGGCTCAAGTGGGAAGAGAATGCTTTGAAAATGATGATGGCGGCATATGTGCAAAGGTACTTTGACACGCTGGAAAAACGTATGGATTGTGATGAGATGCAAGAGCCCCCAATAAAAATAAGGGGTAAAAAAACGTGCTGAAAAAGCTCAGCTTATACTTGAGTATCTATGGTACGATGCAATCAGAGTATTTGAATTTAGAACATTATAATTCCTGACGAGCATTTCAAACTGTGTTAATTAGCTTATCCAAGAAATATATTGGATGTGGAGGAAAAAAAGTTCCAGTCTCAGAAACTCAAGACACTACTACCCTTGTCCTACAGGATCCCTAAGAGGTGGCATCCACCTTAAAGTCAGCTGTGAGTTAAGAGGGGTTAAGACAGGGGTACCTGTCAAAACTTCCACCACTAGGTTAAGACAGGGGTACCTGTCAAAACGTCCACCACTTCAAATCCAGGCACACAGACTATGGAATGGGGAGCTGGCCACTCAATCTCCTCCTCCCACTTGTCCACGTACCAACTGTGAGACCTGGGTGGACGCAGGAGACCAGACAACTAGAGAGACTCGAGTTGGAGCCAGCTGTGTCCCTTGCTACCGGTCTCAAGTTTGGCCAGGACCCTTCACCATCACAGGCCTTAGTGTCCGCTGCATGGAGAGAAGGGACTGCATGACCCCAGGAGCCCTTTCATTGTCAACCTTCAGTCGGAAGGAAATGTTTGCTCTACTTTCAGTGGGTGCAATGGTGTGTCAAGGCAATGGAAATCGGGATTGATGGCAGCTTCTATCCAAAGCAGGCTATAGAGGAGCATATAAAGAATCGCTGTGTATGACCAGCCCTCAGGAGACTGGGTCCCTTGGTTTGGGGGTTCGGTGCCATGGTTTCCCAGATATCCAAGTCAGGTGGCTTATTAATGTGCTTCACGTCTCTGTTCTACCTCCCACTTTGTCACAAAGTTCCTGGGGTCTTCAGTTTACAGGTGGCTGTCGAAGCACAATTGATTGATTTGCACAGAGCCACAGAGCAAGTGGAGAGTCAGGAACGGGAGGTGGGCATGCACTGAGAAGCTAACTGCCTCCATGAACAATGCCTTTCATCACACGGTCAGAACTGGATGGTACCGAATGATCCTCTCTCCATCACTGAACACTTTGATCTAAGATTCTACAGCAGAGTTCTGATAAAAGTGGGATGGGGGGGAAGCAAACCAGAATTTCAAATTCTGCAGAACTTCTGACTCTCTGGAGGCTAGACAGACCCTGAAATCATCACTCAGACTCTGACTCTGAACTACCCCATAGGGCAGGCTAGAACTGGCCCTTTGGGCTTCTGAAGCTGGGAGCAGAGAGCCTCTTTTTTTCTCCTATGGAGGAGCTGGTGGGTTTGAACTGCAGACCTTTCAGTTAGCAGCCTAACTCAAAAACTACTATGTTACCAGGGTACCTTGCCGGAGATCATCTTTAAATCTTAAATCAAAAATATCCCTGAAGTCTTCTGAAAACCAAACCAGACTTAAGCTAAAATCATAAGAACGTCTGGCCTTGAGCATTAGGTTCCTTCAAGAACTACCTCTGTGGGCTCAAATGGACGAGGGCCTGCAAGATTCGGTAGGGCCCTTAGGGCGCAGGTGGGTTTACGGGCAATGGAGGAAGAAATCCTCCATGCAGGAGGGTGAGAACAGTTAAACAACTGAAGGACATAATCGGTGTCACTGAGTTGTGCGTGTAGAAGCGGCTGAACTGGTGCAGCTTTGCTGCGTGTCTGCTGTGACAGTCTCGGACGATGCGCTCCAATCTCAGCCGCAGGAGCTTCAGAATGACTGGATTCCTCTCTCCACTAAATTTCTGCATTAGCTTTTCTCTACAAGCGCATCACTTGAGGTTACAAAAGCACAATGAAAAACCTTAGTCTGTGTATGACAGTCCCCACCTGTGAGGGACAGTGCCGTCTCTTTGGCCTGCAGTTAGGGCCGTATTTGAGCTCAGTTTCTACAGGAGGAAGACCCAGCACCTCCTTCTTCCGTTACCAGTTTTCTAGCCGGTCGAGGCAGATGTTGGGGGGGCCTCCAATGCAAGCGATCTGCTGCCTCCTCTTCCAGTCGGCCAGCTCTTCGTCCGTGAGCGTCTTCTGCACATATTCCATCGCCGACAGAAGCCCCGCCAAGTCACTCACAATACTCTGGTTGGAAACCAAAAGCAGTCAGGAGTCATTCCTCAGACTGTCTCTAACCCACATTCTCCCATCAGTCCTAAAGAAGTAACTGAGCAGCCACCAGTCTGCCCGGGGGCCCCAGGCGACACAGCACTCAGGGGAAGCTGGCCAGTGGGCTTACTCTTCGCATCTGGTCCAGCGCTGAGAGCATCTGCTCCAGCTGCTGCATCTTCTGCCTGGTCACTGACTGGTTGTTTCCATTCAGGTCTTGCATGTCTGCGGAGGAAGTGACAGCACCTTCGCCTAAGGAACCCTTCTCTCCCCCTGAGTCAGGAGATCTCCTGCCCTCCACTGAGGGCAAACACCCAGTCCCGACAGACAAGTCTTTCAACACAAGTCACAGAAACCCACTGTCTACCAAACACGTAAGGTCTCTGACAGTCACTTGCCTCCTTGACTCTTGAGGGTTTTGTAGTTGAAGTCGAAGTCATCCTGGAGATTCTCCACCACTTTCATCTTCTGTTCGAGATCCTGTTGAAAACAAAACGGTACCAAGGGCTCAAGCAGAAAGCCAATGTTCTGAGAATGATGAGGGCTACGAATGTGCAAATGTGTTTGACACGATGGATGGATGGATGGATGGATGGATGGATGGATGGATGGATGGTGATAAGAGTTGCACGAGCCCCCAGTAAAATGATTTGAAAAAAACGTTTTGAAAATGATGTCAACGTATGTACAAGTGTGCTTGATACAATTGACGTATGGATTGCTATAAGAGTTATAAGAGCCCCCAATAAAATTATTTAAAAAACAAAAACGGAGGTAAAAAAAACAACCAAACCTGTCCCTGTGGAGAGGGGGAGAGAAAGTTTCTGAGAACAATGAACTGCAGTCAAACCTTCAGAAAGGGCACACGAAGGAAGGAGACACACACACACACACACACACTTCCCAAGAACAGGCTTCCCACCCCCTCTGGCTGTACCTGCACTCTCTTCCGAACATCCTGTAAGTGCTGCTCCAGCATCTGCTGCTTCTCTGTCACCACGGCAGCGGTGGGATGGTTGGCCTGGCCCCCTTGCTGCCAAAAAAGGAGGCAACAGACATATGACTACAGAAACGATGAGAAACACCTGCCGAGTCTTCGCCTCATCCCACCTGCCCTACCCAATTGGCCTGAGTGGCTGGCGCCATCGGGAAGGGAAGGCATTGTCACTGGCCGTAAAGGGCTGCCTGTGCTCTCCAGGTGAACCCAGGAAGCGCTTGCACAGTTTCAGCGTGTTAGGACGAGGAGCCAACTCTATGTGAGCAGAGAACATGCTGAGCGAAGCCCCAGTCCTTGGCTTCCCAACGGTTTCCTTCAGATACCAGAACTATTTGTGACGGAAGGTGCTGGGTACTTACTGAAACACTGTGGGATAATAAAGATCCCTGGCTGGACTGTGGAGCAGGGGGTAGGTTGCGAACTGCAAGGTCAGTGGTTCAAACCCACCAGGTGCTCTGAGGAAGAACTGGAGGCTGGCTGTTCCTGTAAAGATGTATAGCCTTGGAAACCCTCTATGGCAGTCGTTCTCAACCTTCCTCATGCCGTGAAACCTTAATGCAGCTCCACATGTGGTGGTGACCCTCAACCATAACATTATTTTCGTTGCTACTTCATCACTGTCATTTTGCTACTGTGATGAATCGGGGGACTCCTGTGAAAAGGTCGTTCGACCCCCAGGTTGAGAGCCGCTGCTCTAGAGGGTCCCTTTGAGTTGACTTTGAGGCAGTAGGTGAGGTCGGTTTGGTTTTTAGTGAGAAAACATCTTGCCCAGGGATGGAATTCTTTATCAAAACATCATATCATCTCTAGGTCAGGGGGCACCTTGAAACAATCAAATAGCATGTGAAAACTGAGTTTTTTCAAAGAAAAGTAATAGGACATCTATTTTCTACAAAGCACACAAAAAAACACCCCCTGCCATCGCGTCAACCCCAACTCAAGGTGACACAGCAGGGCAGCAGAGAAGGGCCCCACGGAGTCCCCGAGACGCTCGCTCGATCTTGACGGGAGCACAGTCTCATTGTCGCCAGGGGAGCAGCTGCTGGGTTTAAAGGGCTGGCCTGTGCCGCCAGGACGCCTTTCTATAGGGCAGGTGAAAGCCGCAATGAAGACCGGGCAAGTGCTGGCCCGGGACAGGAATATTCATCTGTGGACCCGAAGAAGAACCCGGGAAAGCCAGTTTTCAAAGCTGGAAACCCGCAGTCCGCCTTTATTTCCGCTTTCCTTTCCTCCGGGCTTGCTCGATGCTCTGTGATGTAGTCGCTTAAACTCACTAGACCTCAGTGACTCAGTTCGGGCTCCAACACGGGGTCTGTTTACCTGTACTCTTGCTCACTTCCAACCCACCTTCTGCACTGGTACCCAAAAAAGAGGCCTAAGCACGCCAGTTTTAGGGGTTACTATTCACTCTTGGAAGCGTTGGCAAGGTGGCCCGCACCCGCCTCCTCCTCCCTGCAGGGGGAGTGACTCATCTGATGGGGGGGGGGGGCACAGATCAGCTCGGGCTCTTCCACGCTCAGTCTCTCAGGAGGAGCTGACAGGCTGGGCCTCTTCCTCCCCCCACTCCTCCTTCCTGGGAAACACCTGGGGCAGGAGAGCCTTGTTTCTAGACGTTTTAGGAACCTATCTCTGTGTTCAATAGATACTGTCTGGGGCCTCTGAATCTCCATGTGGGTGATTGGGGTGGGGAAGTAAAGTGGTTCTCAACCTTCCTAATGCTGCGACCCTTTCATACAGTTCCTCATGTGGTGGTGACCCCCCTCCCAACCACAAAATTATTTTCGTTGCTACTTCAGCACTGTCATTTTGCTACTGTTATGAATTGGGGGACCCCTGTGAATAGGTCGTTCGACCCCCTTTAGGGGTGGCAACCCACAGGGTTGAGAACCACTGCTCTAGATCCTACCTCTACCTCAAGACCCAACTCAGGAGGCAGGGAACTGAGCCTCTATGGGGCTTAGTCCAATCCAGGCCATCTAGTGTGGCTTTACCACCAATACAGCTGGTGTTTTACTCTGTAGCCAACTCCCATGTCTACTTCTCAATTGCTCCTGAACTCCAGAGAGAAAAGAGACATGCTTAATAGTCACCCATAGCCCTACCGTCGATGCCCACAGTGCCTGGGCACAAACATCTCAACCTGGCACAAAAAGGCATTTCACACCATCTGCTAACAACAGAATCTTCCCTCTCTGTGCTGTAGTCCCCCAAAACTACCCACTCCTCCCCACCCCCCACATCAAGCAAGCTGGCCCACATTACCTCCCCACATGCCTCCTTGTTCACTCAGTCGGGGGGCGGGGGGCTCTTCTACCCAAGGAAACCCAAACTCATTCACTTTCAAACTCAGTTCAAATGTGGGTTCTCCTGGAAGTCTTACTCAACTTCCCTAGGCAGAATTACTCTGTGCTTTCCACACTTGGAGCGCTGGTGTACCTCTAATCCCAACGAGACCGAGCCCCTCAGGGGTGGATTCCACCTTCTCATCTTCCTCTCTCCTCATGCCTTACCCATAACAACACTGATCAACATGGCGGAGAAGGTAAACAGAACAAAGCAGTCAGTCCTGAGTGGGAGTCTCACCTAACCAACCGGTAGCTCTATTGTCAGGGGTTGGCCACCCTCTTTTGTAAGGACCAGGGGAGAACATTGGAAGGCTTTGCGGTCCTTAGAGTCTCTGCAGTTTCTCCACCATGCCACTGCAGCGTGACAGCAGGCACACACAACACAAACGAAGGAGGTGGCCGTGTTCCAAACATGCATGATTGGCACCCAAAGAAACAGCCAGCTGGGTGTGGGGCATGGGCAGCGTTTGCAGAACCCTGCTCGACAGGACTGACAATTCACCCACCTTGGGACACTTCCTGCTTACCCACTTCCGAGTTGGAGCCTCTATTCAAACGGACTTAACTATTTTTGTCGTATCCAACAGCCTCAAACACAAACTCACAACCAACCCCCGCTGCCACCAGGGCCATTCTGACTCAGAGCAAGCCTGCGGGACAGAGTAGAACTGACCCTGTGGGTTTCCGGACAGTCACTCTTTACAGAATGTCTTAGCCTCAGAGGGACTGGTGGTTTGGGTAGTAGGCCCAGGAGCAACCCACTATGTCATCAGGGTTCCTACGAAGCACAAAAGTCCTCCAAATCGGAAGCCCTAGTGACGGATGGACAAGTGCCTGTTTGCCAGCCTCCCTGCCTCCATGGTCCCACACAGTGGGTGTTGCAGATCTACTGCTAGCCCACATCTGAGCATATCCCTTTTCTGTTTACAATTCTTCAGTGGATCTCCATTTCCTACAGAAGTGGTGGTGATGAGGATGATGATGATGGTGATGAGGTTGATGAGGAGGAGGAGGAGGTTAGCAGCAGAAAGTGGTGAGCATTTATTTTCTATCCATGTGTCACAGACTTTTCTACGTAATTTACAGGTGGAATTTAATTTCATCCTATTCATTAGCCCTATCAGAGGAGTCGAGAGTAAATAGGAGCCTAAATGGCACAGTACACTGGCAGAGCAGGGAGAGATTGGCCCTGGGCCCTTGTAGTAAATAGCTCTTCCAAGACCAGTTGCTTCGGTGACTAACTAATGAGATCTCCATGATGGGCCCTGATGAGCCCACCTTCTCCTGCCCAGCCAGGTACTGAGCCCTGCACCCCTCCCCAGCCCGGCTCCTCAATTAGACTCAGGTGTTCTTTCTTCTAGCTTCCTGCTACCATTGTCTTGAAACATAAAAAATGTCCCTGACTATAAGATAAGGAAATAAGTTAAAACCTCATCAGAGAAAGCCCGCCTCCTCTAACAAATTATTTGAAATAATTTGGCATATACCTTTCTAGACTTTTTCTCACATCTATCAATACATTGGTTTTTACTATTACAAATGCTCTTGTACCACATCTTCTAGTGAGAATTGCTGTAATAGTACACAACTACTGATTCTTAAAGAGTATTTCTCTTACACAATCATTTTCTGAACTCTTATTAGTTCTAATAATTCTTTTTTTATTGCTTCTCTTTGATTTTCTAGGAAGATCTATCCATCTGTGAATAGATATTCTGTAGATTAATTTCATGGACATTAATAGAGAACTTCTAATGTTGAACCATCCTGACATTTCTAAAATATAATTCACACTTTTGCAGACCATAAAATACACAAAAATCCTAACCATTTTCTTGACTCATTATGTTAGTCCAGCCTCATAATGCAAACTGAAAGCATTCTTTTTCTTCTACAGTGTAGACAAGTTTAAATAATAACGAAGCAATCTATACTATAAAAGCTTGCTAGAACACACTTCCATGCTATCTAGGTGGTCAGCTTATGTGTTTGAGAATAAGGGGGTATGCAATCATTTTTTAAAATTATTCAATGTATTTTTAAGGTCACTGATATTTAAACTTTTCCCTTCGAGTTTAGTACATTTTCATAATTTATATTTTATTGCATTATATAGTTGTTTGATTTCTTTTTCCTCTTCCAGATCACACCTCTTCTAAAGCCAGGAGTCGGAAAAACTAACACACACATATACAGGTATGTGTGTAAAAGAGAAAAATAAATGTCTATATATAATGTGATGAGGATTCAAAAGTTCCTAGGAATTTTTCATCATCTTGTAATTCCATTTTCCATGACGTTTTGAAGTCCCCAACAGGGCAGAACTACTCTGTAGTTCTATATGGTCACTGCGGGTTCGGCTCAATGGCGGTGAGTTTGGTTTTTGGTTTTGGTACCAGGGTTAAGGACTCAGCTGCTAATTAAAAGCTTTTTGTTCAAACCCACCAATGGCTTCCTGGGAGAAGGGGCCTGGTGATCTGCGCCCACACAGATGACGATCTATGACACTGAATTATGCAAGCAGAAGTTGGGGGGACTGGAGATGTTCTGTAGTGTCTATGATTGCCACAATGAGACAAAATCAAAATAATTACATGAATAACGACTACAGGGAAGAAGATGATGTGCTAGAATTGAATGTGATGATAACAGCACAGCTCTTTTTGATATGATTGGATTATTGAAATGCGTGATGTGTGGATAAAGTACAAATAAAACTGTTTTAAAAAAAAAAGATTACCCGAGTCCAGCCTGAGAAAGGGCATGGGGCAGCTGGACTGTCATAAAGGGTCACTCCGAGCCAGCACAGACTTGCAGTCAAAGACAAGATAGGGCTTCAAAAAGCTCATGAAAAAGTGGAATTCCAAGATCATGGGGAACTCCCACACACTTTTAAGAGCCTCCTCCTATAGTACACACACGTAATAGATACACATCCTTAGATGTTATAGATCTGCCATGTGTCGATATAAATGATGAGACAATGACGTGACACTGTCCTCCGGATGGACCATGTCCTGTCACATTAACTGGAGTCCCTAAGCAAATGGCACCTCTAGCTCAGAGAAGTTCCCGTAAACCTTGACCACAAAGAGAAATGCTTCCGAACCTGAATGACTCAATTCCAAACCATCTCCAGCATGGCTCCTTCTGAGGGAAGTGCAAACTGTTAGAGCCTCTGGGACAAGCCATCAGAACTATGTGAAATCAGAAATATATAAACCCTTATGGCGGTGGGTTTGGTTTGGACTTCAGGTTGACCCAACCATCCCATTCCTATAAATCTATGGCAGAAAAATGAAAATACAACTATATCGATATATATGATGAGTAGTTGCAGGAATGTTTGTAATGAAAGAAAATAGAATAAAGTGAACCTCCATCAAAGAAGTGAACAAGTAAGTTACAGCAAATTCATATCACTGATTATTAGTAGCAAATAAAGAGAATGAGTTCTGTGACCCAGGACTTGGCTTAGAATGATTTGCGTGATGCAATAGCAAATGCATACACATTTTCGGTGTTGATATGAGCAAGGTATGAAGACTCCAGAGGGGTGTGCTGTTTTCCTAAGAGAAGCTAATACGGAGAGGACGTGAGTAGAGTTTCAGATTTTGTTTGGACTTTTCTGTAGTATTTCCATTTTTTTTAAATGGGGGGTGGGGGAGGAGAAAGAATGCATTATATATTCAGGAAAACGTGACATCATTCTTCCTTGTAGGAAGAAAATCTCCCACAAAGACCCATTTCTACCCTGGAGGGCAGCTTGCATCCCAATGCCCATAGCAGAGCGACTACTTCTCTGGACACAAGGCGGAGAGCGCATCTCCAAGAGCACTTGGTGCTCCTGGGCCTCACCTGGGCTGCTGTGGCTGCCGTTTGGAGGAGGCGGGACTCTTCCCACAGGCACCGGGCCACGATTCGGGCAATCTCCATGGGCTTCTCAAGGTATCTGCTCTGTAAGTGGGAGAGGAGGAAATGCAGCCGTAAAACAGAGAGACGTGCACCATCGCCAAGACAACAGCCCCAGTAGTAGGAATTTCTGCCTGCTCATGTTCATTGTTGCAAGTTGAAGAAACTGCCAGTCAGTATATGAAAAAACAGAGTATAGTCCTCAGAGCCTGGCTAGAGCCAGGCGGACGGGGTTGAAAGGGGGAAGAAGAAGCAAACAGGGGCTAACAGCGTGCCGTACAATTTCTGCAGGACAAGAGACGTTAACTCGAATTCTTGGCACAGGATGTTACCTGCTATCATAGGGAGGCAGGGGACTTTGTCAAGGCATACCCTATTACGGCCAAATGCTTAGCATTGAAAAGGGTGGGCCATCTCCCAAGGGTGGTCAGTTACCATTATACTGCTGAGCTCCAGGCGTGGTAGGAGGAGCTGGCCTGTGAACAGCAGATCATCAGATTCCCAAGGGTGAGTACACAGAGACTAGAGAAAGAGCTAGTCTCATCTCCTTTGATTGAAAGGGGAAGATGGGCTCTCCTCTCACTACTAAGCCACAAGAGAAAAGCAAGACTTCTAGGAGAGAGACAGAGAGAGGGAGGGAGCGAGCGAGCGAGGACCCTCAGCTCAGTGCCTCCTACTACCTGAAGGAACTGCTTGATTCTGCGCAGATTGTGCTGGTAGAGTACATTGGACTCCTGGAGAAAGCGGCTGTACTGCTGGTCAATCTCACCCAAGAGATTGTGAAACACCAACGTGGCGTGTGACTCTTTGCTTGCAGCATATGCCCTAGGAAGTGGAGGACAATGAAGAGGGACGCTGAAAGCGGCCTACACACAGACAGAAGTCACCCTCCAGAAGGTGGGGGGAAACCACGCAAGCCCACTGCTGCAACGCCCTCCTCATTTACAGCCGAATCTTAGTCAGTGAAAACCAACGCCATTCCCTCCATAGTTACTAACAAGGTCTCCAGATAGGACAGGCTTCTGCCACGGTCCACACCCATAGGGAAGTTTCTCAAGAAGGACTTACCAATCTTGACTCTCGATCCACGGGGCCAGAAACTGCCGCAGCTCCATCGGGAAGCTGTCGCTGTACAGCTGGTGCAGCTGCTCCAGGTACCGGGTGTCAAGCTGCTGGAGCTGGTTCCACTGGGCCATCCTGCTGGACTCCGGGTCCCAACTGTACAGCAACAAGTCCAAATGGTCACCACGAGTGTCCAGAAGCGGCAAACAACCCAGAAGTCGCCGTTCTATCCAATATCAGGCCTGCCGCAAGGGTATGCCGCCTGGCTTTCCCAGGTGAGAGCAATGCGCATCCATCACAAGCTACCTCTGAGAGCCTATTACAGCTTCTCCCACCCTGGAATGGCAAGGTCAGCACGAAGCCAAGTTCAGGAACCCACAAACTACCCATAGCTAGGTGGGCTGGGGAAAATGACTCCACTTCTAGGTCTCCCTTTCCTCACCCAGAACACAGAAAGCCTAGCTCCAATCCCTACAGGCTCTCGAGATAGTTCTAAAACACCCAGCTCGAAGGTGCCCGGCTATCAAAAGATCTAACGTCTGGGGTCTTAAAGGCTTGAAGGTAAACAAGCAGCCAACTAGCTCAGAAGCAACAAAGCCCCCATGGAAGAAGCACACCAGCCTGTGCGATCACGAGGTGTCTAAGGGATCAGGGATCAGGCACCATCAGAGCAAAAAAATCATCATTGTGAATAAGGGGGAGTGGGAAGTGGGGAGTGGAGACCCAAGCTCATCTGTAGGCACCTGGACATCCCCTTATGGGTCGCAGGAGGAGACGAGCCAGTCAGTGCAGTGTAGCAATGATGAAACATACAGCTTTCCTCTAGTCCTAAATGCTTCCTCCACCCACTATCATGATCCCAATTCTAACTTACAAATCTGGCTAGACCAGAGGATGTACACTGGTACAGATAGGAACTGGAAACAGGGAATCCAGGGTGGATAATCCCTTCAGGACCAGTGGTGAGAGTGGCGGTACCAGGAGGATGAAGGGAGGGTGGGGTGGAAAGGGGGGACCGATTACAAGGATCTACATATAACCTCCTCCCTGGGGGATGGACAACAGAAAAGTGGGTGAAGGGAGACGTCGGACAGGGCAAGATATGACAAAATAATTTATAAATTATCAAGGGTTCATGAGAGAGGGGGGAGTGGGGAGGAAGTGGGAAAAATGAGGAGCTGATGCTAGGGGCTTAAGTGGGGAGGAAAAGTTTTGAGAATGATGAGGGCCATGAATGTACACATGTGCTTTACACAATTGATGTATGTATGGACTGTGATAAGAATTGTATGAGCCCCTAATAAAATTCTTAAAAAAAAAAAAAAAAAAGCCAGCTCCGCTCTCAGCACCCCATCAAGTTACTCAACAAATGCCAGCTCCTTGCTCTCTAGCCCTTTAGACCAGGCGTCCTCAAACTACAGCCCGAGGACATTTATCCGGCCCGACGGGTGTTTTTGCCCCATTTGTTTTTTGACTTCAAAATAAGATGTGTGCAGTGTGCATAGGAATCTGTTCACAGTTTTTTTTTTTTCAAACTATAGTCCGGCCCTCCAACGGGTCTGAGGGACAGTGAACTGGTCCCCTGTTTAACAAGTTTGAGGACCCCTGCTTTAGACAAACTGGGAGGTAGAGTCAATTCAATTAAAACAAATATACAGAATGTGAGTGTTCTGTGAGGGCAGAGAACAACCCTTAAACTGGATTGAAAAGTGGAAGTGAGGCTCTCCCTGGGGTCCTCCCACTCAGTGTGTGTTTGTTTTCTTGACACCCCACCCCCATACTGAGAGGAGGAAGAAGAGCTAGCTACCAGGATTTACAATGCCCCCAGGTTTGTGAGCACCCTATGAAATGCCAAGGTCTGAGAAACCAAGCAGTTCATTGCCTTGTGTTAGGCCTCTTTTGGAATACTTGAGGTCCTAAAAATGCCAATGCAGACCAAACACAAGAAGTTCCAAAAATAACGGCAGGATGTGATCATCTGAGAGGAAGGGACGCACAGACAAGTGGCCCACTAAGAGCGCTCGGGGTCCGCTCTCCATTTGGTGAAGCCCTAAAGAAGGCCATGACCGACCTCTCACAAAAAATAGTCCAGCACCCTGGTGACCAACCCAGCCGGACCAACAAAATATATGACTTAAACAAAACCAAAAAGCCAGTCCTCTGTTCCCAAAGCAGAAGTTTACTTGTTGATAAGGCTTAGCTTTTCTGAGGACATGAAAGGACTGAGCTGTGATTCTCTCTTCCTCTTTTAGGGGGGACAGACAGAAAATCACCTCCTTGCTACTGCGAAGACAGCATCAACCGGTGATGTTCTCAAGCCTGCTGAATCAGGAAAGCACAGGTGCGCCTGAAACGCACCCCAGACACGGTCTCAGGCAACACCATGCAACAGAGGCAGCCCAGGCCGCAGCATGCAATTAAAATGTGCCCAGTAGCCACATGAAAAGGGTAAAGAGAACCAGGTGAAATGACTATTAGTAATATATTTTATGTAACCCAATAGATCCCAAGTGTTATATTTGAACGTGTAATCCTATAAAAAAATGACTGAGATAGGTGTCCTTGTTTGTGGGAAGTCTCCTACTCCTGGTGTGTATTTCACACTTCCAGTAGAGATCAAAAGGATTTTCCCTCCTCAAGTACAAAGACACAGGATGTAAACAAACTTTCAGTAAAGCAAAGAAATGAGAATGTCAAATCGAGGTCTTTGCCCCAATCCAACACACACGTTTCCACAGATTAACTATTCCCTACGGCGACAAGACTAAGACATGCAGCACATCAGTCATTGTTGTGCTTTAATTTTACAGAAACACAGAAACTAAAATTTTATGGAAAACCACCCAAACGACTTGCTGGACCCTGGTTTAAAAAATAATTTATTACTTAGTAGCTCACTTCTGTCCCCAAACAAAATACAAGTCTGCAACAAAACGATTCTGAATTATGGGCTAGAAACGGATCAAACTACTTTTAATCATTTGTATTGTTTCCCCCCAGTGGCCCCGTGGCCCCCGATGGCACGCAGAGCGAGCACTGGTCTCCAGTCACTATAGACAGGGCCTCTATGAGCTGAAATCCACCCACTGGCCATGGGTTGCGTTTTATGAATGGGTCAGGATCCACTTAATGGCAACTAGCAACCACAATTAAGTTTTAAAAATGCAAATAGATTCACCCGTGACCCAATGTTGGCCTGTAATGCAGCAGGCGTGAGTGGGGCTGCTGGGTAGTCCCTGAAGGCTCTGCACTAGTGTCCAGGACAGACCAAATAGGTCACTAATTGACTTTATTCATTTATGACACTGAAGAGTGGCATGACACAGATACCCATTTCCTGAAATCTGTGAGTGCTGGATACATGGTCTGTATCAGCTCCGCTCAATTAGGTAGGCCACGTGTACACAGCGTGCAATCTCTAGTAGGCACCTTTTAACAGGCTGCAAAGAAATGGCTGAGATTCGTTTCAATAACCAATATATCGTAAATATTATCATTTCAGAGTTAATGTGATTTTTCTTTTTCTCTGTACTAAGTGTTCAGAATACAGCGTATCTGGGCTGGACCCATCTCATTTCAGACGCTCAGCACATGGCCGTGAAGACCACACTGAACTAGGTAGGTCTCGAGTTGTAGAAAACCATGCAGTAGAATTGACATACACCGTCTCTACTAGACAGATCTCTATGTCAGTCACAATGCTACTAGTCTGTGACTAAAACCAAACTCACTGCCATCGAGTCCAACTCAAAGAGACCCTACAGGACAGGGTAGACCTGCCTCTGCGGCTTTCCGAAACTGCAAGTCTTTACGGGACAGAAAGTTTCACCTTTCTCCCAAGGAGTGGCTGGTGGTTTCGAACTGCTGACTTTAAGATAAGCACTCCAACACCAGGGTTCCTGTGAGTCCATGAAGCAGATCTTAATTTGACCCTAATTCAGAGGTTTCCAATGAGCTCTGATGGCCTGTGTTTCCTTGGTGATGTTAATACAAGACACAGTTACTATGATTTGCCGTGGAGCATGCACTTCAGCCACTGCTTTCATTGCTGCCAGGGTTCAGGTTAAGTGTACCACTAACAGCTAACTGCAACAGCTGCATCAGTGGCGTGGCAGCTTAGATGTGGGGTGGGAGATGCTGAGAGGACAAGGGCCAGGAAGTGGTAGCTGAAAATGTTTGGAGGTGTCCAAGAGGCAGGAAAACACTGCTTTGTAAAGCAATAAACCATACACATGAAAGAAATAAAAAAATTTTTAAAGATGACAAATAAAAGTCAAAGACATAGTATCTATCTATATAAGATAGGCAGGATAAGCAATCCCAAGGAGACAGAAAAGGGACTGTTAGTTCTGAGGGGGGTGGGGACTGGGAGGGGAGGAGGTGGGAGGATGGTGATGAGTGGTGAACCAATAATGACAGGGACAGGGAACAGCAAGGGTTTTAAAGTTGATGTACAAAAGCAAGCAATCAGATTGACACGTAGCATGGCAAAGTGGAGACCCAAAACCCACCTGTAAGATAATTGGACAGTTCCTCAGAAAAGGGCCACATGGAAGGGATGATAAATATAGGGAGCAGTATAGCACGGATGAGACGCATAACTGTCCTCTAGTTCTTTAATATTTCCCTCCCCAGTATGGTCTTTGTTTTACCCTCATTGATCTTATGACCTGCATATGCGCATTTGTACAATGAAGACTGTTCGATGCACGAGATCCAAGATAGATAAACCCTTCAGAAACAGTAAAAAAAAGGAGTAATGATTCCCTGAGGGTCCAGAAAGGGGTAGGGAAGGGGGGCAGGGGGAACTGATAGCAGTGACAACTGTATAATCCCACCGAATAACAGAAGTGCAAATGAATGGATACACTGGATGATGTAAGAGAGAGCAAAAATAATGATAATACATAATATTATAATAAGGGTTCCTATGGGGGGAGGAGAGGGTAGGAAGGGATAAAGAGGAGCTGATATCAAAGAGTTCAAGAAGAAGGAAAATGTGAAACTGATAGTGGCAACAATTGTATAATTATGTTTCATCTAACTGAATCATGGATTGTTGTAATATCTGCAAGAGCTCCCACTAAAATGATTAACAATAAAAACAAAATTTAAAAATAAACGAAAAGTCAATGAACAGGCAGCATTTTCAGGGA